TCTGGGAAATGGGATTTGACGGCCAGACGTGTGAACTAACTTTGGGCCCAATCTGTCAACGGCGTAGCATCTCGAGGCTGCCCCTAAAATGAGTGTCAGCCTCAGCTCTGAGCGCCTCACTTGACGGGTATGTCAGCAACCCTGAGGCACTTCATAAGAACCAACCAGAATGGCAAAAAGATTCCAAAGGATAGAAAAGAGTAGCTGTTGCACTGGGGGAGGGGTAGCCATGGGAAGTTCGGCGACTTCCTTCCAGTACACGAAGGCCCTAATTAAACGGACGGATATGTGGGTACCAGGACGTGAGACAGGGTGACTTTTAAGGTATCTTAAGCGTAGTGGTCTGTGGGTTTCCTCATAATAGCAGAGAGAGAGGGAGGGAGGGAGGAAGGGAGATGGGAGGAGGGAAGTTGGTTGTGATCGTCTACATGAACTGTATTTACTGAGCAGTAGTAACCTTTTTATTTGGTTATACTATGCATGCAGGAGAGGACACATTAGAGGTGGACACTGTACACTTTGCCAGGCGTCTGTGCAACCACCACTGCATCACAGGCCAGAATGTCACCTGCTCCCCAGAAGGACCCTGGGCCCCTCCCAGGCATTCCCTCTGCAAAGAAAACCACTTCCCCAGCTTCTCTCCCGTAGGTGTGTTGTGCCGGGCTTTGAACATGGGTACCGGTGGGACCGGTAGATGGTTCCTTCACGTTGCCTGGTGGGACCCCACCGTGTGGATCTGAGGCTGTCTGAATCCCACCGTCTCTTCCTGTCTGCACTGTGTGTGCCCACACTTGTGAGCGTCCCAGCGGGTGTGGGGATGACTGGGCAGACGGCCGGAGAGTTCACCCTGACCTCTGAGCCCAGCTCCTTGTTCTTCCTGCCCAGGTGGCACATGCTCACGTGCAAGATAGGAGACTCCAGGGAAGGACTGAGGGACGGGTGGCATGAGAGACGGTCGTGATGCCTGAGAGGCGGCGTGGACAGCCCGGGAGCGGCAAGCCGGGCAGACGCCCTGGGGCAGGGTGTTGGGCGGCATTTCCATGGCGGAACAGGCCTCTGCCGTTGCTTCCTGAGCTGCCCTAGAGACATGGAAAAGGCCGTTCACGCCTTTGGCCAGATGCCTGGTGGCCTCTTAGAGTAGTTCAACCTCAGCAGAGCCCAGTTCCCCTCCAGAGGGACTGCGGTGACCTGCGTGGTTGTCCTGACACCCTGATGACCCGAGCTGGCAGGTGCCTTTGCGGTCCTCAGAGCACCCACAGGCTGCCCCTTGCAGGAGCTGGAGGCTGGGGGCTGGGGAGCAGAGCGCCTGCGCTCCACTTCCCGGCTCTGCTGTTGGTTTGGAAAAGTCATTTCCCAATTTCCCAGCGCCTTAGGCCCTCTGAGTGCGGATCCGGTGTCCTGGTCTTACAGCGGCCCGTCAGGGTGGCGGGGCAGGACTGAGGCAGAGGCCTGGCCTGGTGTGATTTCAGAGGGCTGGAGCCTGTTGCCTTATATGACACTGACTGGCATGGCTCCAGGGGCTTCTGCATCCTCCTGTGTTCGCCTGGTTTGAGTTCCGGGGGGGCCTCGCCGGGTGGGCTTGGGCAGCTTCTGGGGGAGGACGGCCCGGGGCCAACCTCAGCCGGGCCACGGGCCCCCCTGCTTGCCCCCTGCACAGTGTGGGTGGTGTTTGGGGTGAGTCTTTGCTCCTTCCCCTCTGTAGAGTAAGTTCTCAGTGTGGAATGAAAAAGTGGTCCTGTTGCCTCTCCCTGTGTCCCAGTGGGAGCTGAGAGGGCAGGGGACTGTGTGTAGAAGGCAGGGAGGGCGGTCAGGATGAAAGGCAGTGGGCAGGCAGGGAGCGCGCCGCCCTCAGATGTGGTTTCTTTTCATCCACTCGCCCCCTCGGTGCTCCTTCTGATGCTTGTCTTCTATTTCTTTCTGGACAGCAGCTCTGTCCTGACCCACCCGGCCCACCTCTTCCCTTCTGGAACCACCCCCGGCTCTGCTTTGCCGGCCTGCCAGCACCCCACCCCCGGGTCGGCCACTCCGTACCCGCTGCGGGTAACAGCGCTCCCCAAGGCCCGGGTATGGATTAATGAAGCCCAGATGCTGGACTGGGGACTCCGGCTGCAAGTTCTCTCGTTGGAGCAGCAGCTCGGCTTGGAGGGGCCGTCTACCTCCCCCCGCCCGCCCCCTCCCCTTGCTCCTGGCCCAGCTGCTGCTGGGGCTCCCGGGGAACAGCTGGAGAGCAGGTTCTGGCGGTGGGAGCCCAGGGAGATACGCGGGTGGGGCGCCGGATGAGGGCTCCCGTGTTCTGTCCCGTGACGCAGTCCAGATGGGGCTGCCTCTCCCCAGGACTCGGAGGGTGGGTGGGAAAGCTGGGGCGCTCTGCAGAAAGGGAACCGAGGTCACCGGTCCAGAATGGAAGGGGATGGCCGGCCCCTCCCAGGGTGGCCAGATAAAATACAAAGATCACATGGGAGAAACTCAGGCTAAAAAAAATTGTTCTTTATCTATAGGAAGTTCAAATTTAACTGGCATCCTGTATTTTTATTGGCTAAGTCAGGCAATCCTTACCACCCCCCAGCTGAACTTCTTCTTTAAGTAATAGTTTTATCGAACTGCAACATACAAACAGAACACAGACCGTAAGTGTGTGCTCAGTGGGTTTCCACAGGTCGAACACATGTAAAACTAGCACCCAGATCAAGAAATGAGGGAATTCCCTGGCGGTCCAGTGGTTAGGACGCGGCGCTTTCACTGCCAGGGCCCAGGTTCAGTCCCTGGTTGGGGAACTAAGGTTCCTGCTAGCCACATGGTACGGCCGAATGAAAAGAAAAGGAAGAAGAAGAAATGAGACGTGAGCAGAGCCTGCCCGCCACCCGACCCCTGCCACGTATCCCCGTTTCTGTACTTAGTGTTAGTGAAATCACACACGTGTGTTCTGTTGGAACTGGCTTCTCTCACACAGCCCTGTGAGGCTCCCCCGTGCTGCCGGATGGAGTCGTGGCTCATCCGTAATCGTTCCGCGTGGGCTTGAGATGCGTGAGTGGAGCCCAGTCCCTCTCTCCATTCTAGTGGCGGATCGGCGCTGCTCTTCCCCCTCTCTTTTCTCGTACGCCGTACGTGTGTGCCCAGGATTAGGACTGCCGGGCCGTGGGGCGGGCACACGAACATCTTTATCTTTAGTAGGTCTCGCCAGGCAGTTGGCCGAGGTAGGTGTATGCATCCGTGTCCCTGCCGGCTGTGTGGGAGCGTCTCCCCTCTTTCTCGTGTTTACCCTTCTAGTATGTGATGCTGCTGTCTGATGCTGCGTTTTTCCCTTTTTTTTTTTAATCAAGAGCCTCTTGCCTTGTTGATTCCTCTGATTTCCTTGAATAAGATCAACAAGGCCCCTGCTTCAGGTACCACCTACCCTCCTGGCTTGGAGAAGGCCATTCCCACCTCCGTTCCCCACCAACTGGGATCCCCTCCTGCACCCACGTGAGGCCACGGCAGCCACAGGCCCTGGGGAACTTGCAGGGGCGCCTTCAGCACCGCTCAGGCGGGGCTCAGTCCTGCTTCCCCCAGGTACTTCCTTAGGGAAACATCATTTCCGAGGGCTGCCTGTCCCCGATGTCCTGTCCTTTGTTTCCCCGTGGAGTCGTCCCAAGGATGGGGGTAGGGGCGCCCGTGGGGACCCTCCAGCAGTGTTGTTACCAGAGAGCATTTCTCCTCTACGGAGCCGCTTCAGCCCACGTGGTGTCCTTCGTGTTCCTTCAGTTTCCGCCGGCTTCAGAACCTCTCCTTTGCTTCCCCTGGTGGTGGCTTTCCGCGGGAATCAGCGACTGTGGGCCACATCAGAGTCCGTGCCAGGGGCTGCCTTCTGCTGTCCATGGGAGCAACAAGTGTGTGAAGCCTCGAGGAAGATGTAACCCTCCACCCCTTCTCCCATCGCCCCTCTCCAGCCTCTCCTGGCCACTGCCACCCCTAGCCCTGTCCTCTAGTCTCTACTACCCTCCTCTCTTCTTTTTACTCACTCCAGCCCTCAAGGACCCATGAAAATCAGAGCCACAAACATTAGCGTCTAAAATCCCCATTAGAGGTCTTTACTCCTGAAGAGTGGAGACACCAGCTCCATCCTGAGTGAATCAGTTAGGACTGTTTGGTGCTAGACTTAGGAGCCCAGCTCAGACTGACTGAAGAAGCCAAAGGGACTTCATCAGCTGAGCCAACCAACCCACTGACCGCACGGGCCCGGGGGCCGGAGGCTTCAGGCAGGGCAGGCTCTGGGTGTTGTCAGGGCTCTATCTCTGCTTGTTGCATTCTCCAGACTGCCCCACAAAGAGGCAGGATGGCCACCAGCGACAGTGGGGTCACCTCCCACCTGATCAGTGGTCCTGCTGGAAAGGCACACGCTCTACTGGTAGCTCCAGCCAAGACCCCGAGGCCACCTCTCAGTGGCTCAAACACAGGGACTGATGGGCCAGGCCTGGCGCACGTGCCCACCCTGGGAGCCGGGATTTGGGCCGGGTGTGGTGGGTGAGGGTTTCTCCAAAAGAAAGTCACTGGATGCTGGCTGAAAAAAACAAGAACAAAACTTGGCCTCACCAAGCCCCGGTCACCCACCTTCCACCACCCTGCATGGGCTGAAAGCTCATGATGCTGCAAGGGAAAGGAAAGGCGACGGTCTCTGCAAAGGAGGTTGAATGGTCCCGATCTCTGTGTAGCACAAATATATAGAGGAAAACACTAAGCCGGTAAATACCACCATGCTAGCCTCTGAAGTTACCGCTTCTTTTAAAAAATAACTTTTTTCTTTTTGCTTATTTTTAAACTTTCCCATCTTGCATGTTTTATTACTTCTAAAATAAATAATAAACGCTGTAAACCAGAGGAGAAAGCCAAAGTTCCCTACGTGGCTCTCCCCTGTTCACGTCTCGGTGTGTGTCCTGCCCCTCCTTGCACCCACCCTGGGGACTTCAATCCCCCCCCCCCAGGGTGGTACACCCCTTCAGTCTCTCTCGCCCCTTCTCTCACAGGCAGCTTCGACGCCAGCTCAGCCTCGTGATCATTGCCCGGCTGCTGGACCAGCAAGGGACGCTCCCTCTCTGGCAAGAGAAGGCCCAGGTGAGTCTCTGCCTCAGCATCCGCTGGGGAAGCCCGGCCGGCTCCTCCCGCTTCTTTTCCCGAAGGTTGGGAGCCTCAGGCCGGCGGAGTCCAGGTGGGTCTGAATTTTCTGCTCACATCCTTGCATTCGACGGTTACTTTTTGCACGCCTACTCTGTGCTCGGCCCTGAGGATAGAGCAGTCAGCTGGGAGCAGGTATTACTTTTTCAAAATATTGCGGTAAAATATACATAACATAAAATTTACCATTGTAACTTTTTTTTTTTACCGTCTTAACAGTTCTGAGGGCAGAGTTCTGACCGTTTTGAAGTGTGCAGCTCCACGGTCTTGTGCAACCACTGCCACCATCCACCTCCAGAACTGTTTCATCCTCCCGGACAGAAAGTCTGAATCCGCTGAACACAACTCCCATTCCCTCCTCCCCAGCCCCTGCTTATATAACTTTTTATAGGTGGAAAAACAACAAAGGTGAAAACGAACACTACTAAATTAACACTGCTCGCCCCCAGTGACCCTTCTGCCCCATGTCAGGCATTCTTGGGGCAGCAGGGGAGGAAGTGTCTTCTTTCCTCCACCCTCTGCTCTCCAAAAAGCTCCGACTGCAACCTCCTTGCAGCTCAGAGAGCAGTAGTTCAGGGGCCCTGGGGGCAGCATGGGTCACAGCCAGCCCAAGGGCGGGTGGCAGGGGGCTTGAGAATGCTCTCACCGGCCTCCCCCCACCCCAAGGGTCTCCCTGGAACCCCAGAAGAGCTGCTGGGTGCAGCTGAGCCGTCTAGTTCTACAGCACGAGACAGGCAAGGCAGTCCTGGCGAAAGGCTGCGTCTCTAGTCGCTGGAGGTCCACGGGGCAAGCCCGCGGCCAGAGCGCTGAGAGGATGTTCTGGACGCTTCTGGGGCTGGTGGACCACATGGCTGAGTCTGAGAGGCCACGATCGCAGGGCGGGAGCTCAGAAAGGTGACCGCTTGGGTTGGCTCATCTGAGCAGGCCCGGCCTGGCTTTGCCCCGGCTGCCCCCTCGGCCTTCCATGCTTTCCCCAAGACTTAGGACGGCGTGAGTGTCTTCTCACCCCAGTTCCAGCTGAAGTGTCACCTTCCGCAGGAGGCCTTTGCTGACCACCCAGTCCAAAAAGTGCCCTGGCACCAGCACACTCTGAAAGTATTCACGGTGCTCACCTCCTGATATATTTTTATTTGTTCAGGGTCTGTGTACACACACACAGACACACACACACACACACACACACACACAGACACACACACACACACACACAGACACACACACACACACACACAGCATCAGCAGCTCCTTGAGTGCAGGGCCCAAATGGTTTCTGCTCACTACTGCCCGTCAGCTCCTAGCACAGTACCTGACACACACAGGACCTCAGCACACACGTGTGGGCCGAAGGAACCCAAGGTTGAGTTCCCGGGTGTGCAAAGGAAGGTTCCCCAGGCAGAGACCTTGGGAGGGCAGGAGGGGAGGGTGGCCTGCTCAGGGGTCACTTCACAAAGGTGAGAGCCTGATGACAGAACATCTCTGCGAGAAAGAGAACAGAGGGGCCAAACGGTTAGGGGCGGGGCAGGCAGAGATGCACCAGCGAGGACAAGACAGAGGGATCCCAGGAGGCTCCCGGGGTGGGGGCAGCCTGGTAGACAGGCTTTGGTGTTGACCCGAGTGCGGCCACCGAGCTCCTCGGAGAACCCAACACATGTCAGCAGAGCGGAGGTGAGAGGCCAGAGTGTCGAGATCAGGAAAGGCAGGACTGGCTGCACGTGGTGGGTGGGGGTCGCCGCCGTCTGTCCGGCAGCGCTTGGCAGCGATCAGGAAAACACAGGCTGGCTCGAGCATGAGGGTCAGTTCAAGGCTTGGGGTTTTGTTTTGATTTGTTTTTTATTAGCCAGAGCCTACGCAGGGGAGGCTGCGGGGAGCGTGATGAGGGCCAGAGAGTGGCGAGGGGAGTGGTGCTGGGGAAGAGCTGGGTGGTCTGGCCTGCCGGGGACCTGGAGGGGAGGCGAGTGAGCGGGGCTGGTGGGGGCGGGGCGGGAGGATGCCTCCCCCAGGGAGAGCTGGCCTGGGAGCTCCCAGCCGTCTGGCGTGGAGTCCAGCCCTGCCCTTGTGGGTCCCAGCTCCAGGGCCGTCCCACCACACCTGTCACCCACCTGCCCGCGTGCCTGCCGTGCGTTCGTGAGACCCCAGCCTAGCGCCTCCTGTGTGCCAGGCTCTGCACCGGGAGACGACCTCGGAGGAGAGGGTGTGAGCGTGAGAGAGGCAGGCCGAGGGCCCCGTGACTGACTCTGCCCGAGGGCAGCGAAGTGGCTTCCAGAGCCGTCCCGAGCCAGGTCTCGAAGGGCGCGTCAGTGCTCGTGCCGCAGGAAGGAGAGAGGCAGCAGGCGGGCCAGGCAAAGCTGCGCCAGACCCGCGGCGACTCGAGGGGCAGACGGGCGGCTCTAGCCTGCCCGCTGTCCTCCTGATGTGCTTCCCTGTCCCCACTGCAAGCCCGCGGCTGCTGCACGGCCTCCTGCCAGGTCTCTGGGCCGCAGACGCTCCCCTTTCCAGTCAGGCCTGCCGGGCGGCTCCTTATGAGACACGCCTTCAGAGGACCACCTTGGCCCTGCAGCCGCCCACGTCAAGCCCCCACGCCCCGCTTTCCCCACACCTCCTCGACCACGTGGCTGCCTGGGCCCTCCTCGCGGGCTAGCCCAGCCACCCTCTGCACGTGGCTCTGTGCCTGGAGCACTTCTTCCTTTCCACCCGTTACATCCCACCCGAAGTGGTGGCTCTAACGTGCTGCAGAGCATGGCTGAGCCCCGGTGCGGGACAGATGGGGAAACGGAGGCAGGCACGGTTAGGAGACTTCTCAGGGTCGCACAGTGGGAAAGCCGTGGAGCCAGGATGCAAACCCAGGTGCCTGGGACCCCTGCAGTGTGCCGTCTCTGCTTCTCCAGCCCCTTCCTTGGATCCTGTTGTGGTGACGGCCTGGACCACACCTGCTGCTTCAGCTGAGGTGCCCGGCTGGTCCCTTGAGCTTTGGTCCTGGCTGGCAGATAGGAGGACAAGGGCCGGCCCTTCCTTCATCCATGCATAAGTGCTTGATAAACCTTAGCAATTGATTTACCGTGAAGGGGACTTCAGTGGTTGAGAATTGGCTCGTCGAAGGAGAGGATCTGGGGTGAGTGCCCAGGCAGCGGGTTCTCAGGGCACCGCTGGGCAGGAGGAGTCCCTGATGCCTGGATCGCTTGGTTCTCCATCGCAGACTGCAGCCGGAGGCCCCAGGAGCAGGTGCTGAAGAACTGAATTTGAGGGACAGGACTTCTGTAGGTGGTCGGGATGCAGCAGCCCCAAGGCTTGCATCTTCCAGGAGAGCCTCAGGTTCAAACTGCTTCCTTCGTGTTGTTCCTGCAGATCATGGGAATATCCCAGAAACAGCAGGGTTTTGGCCCCAAGGCACTAGTGTGCTCCAGACACGGCTCAGGGCACTGAAGATACAACCCTGAACAGCGTTCATTCAGTCTCCTCCCCTCATGAAACTCAGCAGAGACAGACACAGGCACCAAGAGAGAAGTAAATCTTTGGCATTCCAGATGGTGATAAGTGCTATGGAGAAAAATAATGCCAGATAAAGAGGAGGGGGAGTGTTGGGGGGATGCTGTTTTATAGGGGTGAACAGAGAAGGGGACATTTGAGCACCGACCTAAAGGAGCCACGCAGGTTTCTTGGGGAAGAGCATTCCGGGCAGAGGGAACAGCCGGTACAAAGGCACTGGGGCAGGCAAAGGCCTCTCAGGTTGGAGGCAAAAGGAGAGGCTGGTGTGGCTGGAGCAGAGGGCTGAGGGTGGGTAGGAGGAGCTGAGGTCAGAGGTAAGTGGGGACTCAGGTGGGGGCTTGACTTTCATGCCAAAGTGGAGAGCCACTGGAAGGTTTTGATTAAGAGGAGGGACATAATCTGATTTTTAAATTTTTTTTACAATTACACTGGCTGCTGTGTTGAGACTAGACTGTTGCGGGTGGAAGGAGGCAATTGCAGTAATCCTGGCAACAGCTGATGGTGGTTTGGCCTGGGGAGATGGCGGCGCACGCAGGTGGCGAGCAGTGGTGAGATTCTAGGTGTATTTCCCAAATACAGCCAGCGGGATGTGGAATGGGAGAGAAAGGAGGCGAGGAGGCCTCCAAGACCTATGCAGCTGGCAGAATGGAGAAGCCCTTTACCGAGACAGGCAAGACACAGGTGGAACAGGTTTGGAGAGAAATCGGGAGTTCGTTTCTTATCCCAGGCCACCTCTTACAACACAGCAAGCCTGCTTTGTCAAGCCACGCCTTCCAGTTTGGAGATTGGAAAACACGGGCTTCAAATGGCCAGAACCAAGGGAGACAGAGTTTTGCATCTACTATGGAAAGGCCAGCTGCAGACCTGACCTGCTATTCGTTCATTTGCTCATTTAACAAATGCTTATTAAGCATATACAATAGTCCCTGCTATCCGCGGGGGATACAGTCCAAGATGTCTAGTGAGTGCCTGAAATGATGGATAGTACTGAAACGTATATATGCTATGTTTTTTTTCCTGTACGTACCTACCAATGATAAAGTTTAATTTATAAATTAGGCACAGTAAAAGATTAATAACAATAATAATGAAATAGAACAATTATAACAATATACTGCAATAAAAGCTACGTGAGTGTGGTCTCTCCCCATCAAAATATCTTATTGTATAAACTGAATGCCTTTTTCATCATAACTAAGCCCTTATCATGCACTGTGGCCATAACTTTTACATTTTGAGATGCAGTAGCAAAACCAGCATGGGTTTCTTTTTCCTTCTTCGCAATTTCACGGATAGGAGATTTGTTCTTACTGTAGATCTTAGCAACCTCAGCATGTGATTTTTTTTCCTTCCTTCTAAAGTCCAGAACTTTCACCTTGTCACTTAAAGGAAGCACTTTACGGCTTCTCTTTGACATATCTGAATTGCCAGCATCACTACCCTTGTGCGTTGGGACCGTTATTAAGTAAAATAAGGGTTACCTGAGCACAAGAACACAAGCACTGCAGTACTGCGACAGTCAATCTGATAACTGAGACGACCACCCGGTGACTAACGGGGTAGGATCCGCTGGGCACAGGGACGTTCACATCCAGGGAGGAACGGAGCAGGACTGCGCGAGATTTCATCACGCTACTCAGAAGGGTGCGCGCGATCGAAAACTTACAAACTGTTTATTTCTGGAATTTTCCATTTCATATTTTCGGATCTCGGTTGACCACGGGTACCTGAAACCGTGCAAAGTGAAACTTTGGATAAGGCGGAACAACTGTGCCATGTGCCAGGTGCTGTGCAAGGCTCTGGGGACACTGCAGTGACCCAAAACTGTCCTCACGGAGCTTACGTTCTAGTGAGGGGCAGGCGACAAGTAATAATAAACATAACAAACAAGAAAATTACATAGCATGTCAGAAGGGGTGCTTGCTGCCGGGTAGATGGGCGGGCAGGTGTGTGTGGGGGGGGCTCACTGGGAAGGTGGGCCCGGAGGAAGGCTGGAAGGCGGAGGGGGCAGCCGCGCAGTGTCCGGTCAGAAGGCCCAGGCAGGGCACAGGCTCCAGGGAACAACAGGGGCCACCCGGGGCCTCGCAGACATTTAAGATGCTGGCCTTCTCCGCTGGGCCGATAGAAGCAGCTGCCGGAGTCTGAGCACAGGAGGGACCGCCGTGTGGACAGTTGCCTCGCCGGAACTGTCTGCCGCCTCTTGCCGGACAAACCGACAAGGCCAGCGGAGGCCTGCCTTTTTGGGTGATCATTTGCTTCTTGCCTGGGGACGTCTGTCCTAACAGGCTGAGTGTTTGCAGAGACAGCTCCCAGCGGTGGGGGTAAAGTGGGGAGGCGTGCTGGTCAGAGCCTGGCCCTGCTGGGACCCACGCAGCCCAAATAAGTCCTGACCGCGCGGAGAAGGGTGTGTCTCCCAGGGAGGGGATGACTGCGGCTGCCAGAGCTGGGAACAAAGGAGAATAAGCAATCAGAAGGCAGCAGCTTGCCTTGCTGAGCAGAGTGAAGCTGTTTTCACAGAGTGAGAGGAAAACCGTGGGAGCAGCCAGCCACTGCTGTGTGCTCCCCGGCCCAGCCCGGCCCGCCCAGGGCTCCTAGCAGGGAGGGTCCCAGCTGGGGCGGGGCTGCCTGCCGAAGGGCTGCTTCTGGGGGCGTGGGCTGCAGAGCCCGCTCCTGTGCTTGCACAGCTGTGAGCCCGGAGCAGGCAGGGCTGTTTTGGAAACTATCGCCAGACTTGGAAGGCCTGAGCAAGGCGGCACAGCTCTGGTGTCGGTGGAGCTCTAGATGGTGCCTCTCTTCGCCCAGAACCTTCCCCCTCTCTCTCTCCCTGCCTCCTGCCCTCCCTCTCTGAAGGGATCAGACGCTAGGCCAAGAAGCCCTGGCCCCCTTCCAGGAGCCGAGGCCCCGGGCCTGACTCCTCGCCCTCACTCAGCCCAGCTGCTCTTGTGGGCTTTCTAAGCCTGTGGCTGGCCGAGGTGCTGAGCAGGTGTCTGCGGGTGAGTCAGGGGGAAGAAGCCAGGTGTGCCAGGCAGGGCTGGGCTCAGGCAGGGAGCTGGCCCAGAGGCTTAACCCTCGCCCTTTGGGCCAGCCTCCACCTGCTACATCTAAAGACACGGTGCCTCTGTGAACTCCCCTGGCCCAGCTCTTTCCTTCTGCATCCTCCCTCCCCAGGGTTACAGGTGGCCTCAGAGGGGCCCAGGGCTCAGAGACTGCCTGCCTCCTGAAACCCCGGCCGTGAGTTAGCTCTGGGGCAGCTGGTGGTCCTTGCTGGGGCCCACCCGAGGCTGCCCAAACCAGGTGCAGGGGCTGGGTGGGAAGGAGTGGCTGGATGCAGACACCTGGACTTATGCAGGCCACGTGCCCCCATTTGTTCAGAGATGGGGGGTAGGGCAGCTAGCAGATTGGGTGATATAATACATTAACCAAAGGGCAGTGTGTGCACCTCGCAGGGAATCCCATTCCAACAAAGCAACTGCCTAAGGACATTTTTGAGACAATCAGAGAAAACTGAACACAGGTGTTTGATCGTGTAAGGAATTCTTGGTAATTTTGTTGGGCAAGAGAATGATGTGATTATGTTGGGGAAAAAAATCCTTATCCTTTTCTGTTTGAAGCTCTTTGTGGGTAAAACGATACGGTGTTCGGATTTGCTTTGAAATTCTCTGGAAGGAAAAAGGTGGAGGGGGGCTGGGGGCGATGAGTGCAGTCATCGTTCACGTTCACAGAGATGAGTAGGGAGGTAGTTCTCAACCTCTCTTCTTTCAGGAGTGTTGAAAACGCCCGTGGTGAGAAGTTAAATGACAATAGAGGGCCAGCAGGCCTGAGCAGCAGCTCAGGGTGGGAAGGTCTTGTCATGTGGCAGAGGAGACCCTCTTCTGGTCTTGGTTCTTCTAAGCCCTGAGTGTCTGCTCAGTCCCGGGATGTGGGCTAAGTCCTCATTCACTTGTCTAAAGGACGCATGCCCTGTGAGCATGAGAGCCTCTTCTCCCGGGAAGAAGGGGTGTGCTTGTCTCCATTTCACAGATGGGGACAGGCTCCGAGAAGCCACATGGCTCTCAAGGGAAAAGGTGCCCCCAGGTCGTGGAGCCAATGGTCTGGCTCCAGAGCCTAGGCTCTGACCCATGCCTGCCAGCCGGCATGTCCCGGCCATGCGTCCCCGAAGTGCCCCAAGCACTCGTGAGTTATGGCCGCCCTTCTCTCCCCAGCTGTCCTCGCTCAGGCATCTCCTGAGCCTCATGAGGCCATCAACCCTGGGGCAGTACCTGGGCCCTGAGACCATGCCGCCCGGCCAGGAGAAGCAGCCAAAGGCCAGTGCCCAGCTAGACCACAAGGTGAGCACCCAGCCCCTGCCCGCCTCTGCCAAGGCACCACCCCAGGGTAGCAGGGGAGGCTGGGCTGTCCACAAGGCACAGCCTGGGGGCCTGAAGGCTGCCCGTCCCGAAAGCCCGGGGCCTCGGGGCAGGGCCCAGCCAGCTACTCCCGCCCATCTCCCCAGAGCCTGTGCCCCTCACGGAGGCGCAGTGGGCACAGGCGTGCAGGCTTGTGAGTTTTGCTGTGGCCTTTGCGGCCTGGCATGGCTTTGCCAGCCGTGTTAGAGAGGACGCAGGAGCTGAAGCGCTGGCGAGGGGAGTGGGGTGGGAAGGGAGTGCCCTAAAGGAGAAGCCCAGGGAATGTTCAGATGCACGAGGCCCCGTGTTTCCTGCAAGTGGAGCTGGGTGCAGCTCCCTGTTCCTATTTCCCGTGGTCCTCACTGAGGCTGAGTCCTTGGCCTTCCCCCAGTTCTTCCTAATTGACTTTCCAGACGTCGCCCAGCTTTCCTGAAAGCCATGCTTCGGCGGCAGTCAGGGGCAACAAGGTACCCCAGAGCCTGCTGGTTGTGGGGCTTGGAGTGGTCAGGCCTTTGGCCACCGGGGGTGAATGTCAAGCGGGGGGGTGGTGTAGGGGCTTCAGCCTGGGAGTCCCAAGCCTGGCTCCCTGGGGAGTTGGGGGATCGAGCTCAGTGAGCTCCCCCATCCCTGGGGACTCAGGGATGAAGGATGCAGGTAGGCATCTTGCTAATTTAGGAAGGCGGTAGTTCCAAAAAGTTCACCCGGGGGTTGGATGTTGACATCCAGAAGGCCAGCCTTTGGGCATCATTCTGCAAATCAGATATAAGTGAATTAATTACAATGAATACAAATGAACTGTTAAGAAGATATGACAACCCCCAGGTGTACGCTCCTCTCCTGGAACTCGCAGGAAAGGTTATCTCTCTCAGTTGTGCCTAATGTCGGTGAGTTTACGTGAGCTGTCCCCGGGCCCTGTTCCCCTTTGCCGGCTGTTTCCCGTGAAACTGGAGCTCGTTACGGAGGCTAAGTCTGGGTGTTCCGGGGGCTCTGCAACAGAGTTGGGGTCAGACCCTGGGGGTGGTCCGTCTGAGCAGGACAGTTCTCGCCCCCAAGCAGGCCCCAGGTCTGGGCTGGGGGAAGGGAAAAAGAGAGAAGGGGAGGGGCGAGAGAGAAGAGGAGGCTTGCGTCTGGTCTGACCAAGGAAAAGCTGCCCTCCAGGCCCCTGGGGCCACCTCTGGACCTCGCCTCACAGTCTGGTAGCAGATGTGCCTTCAACAGCCTGGGAAGAGAGGGGAGTAAGCGGGCTGAGGGTATCCTTTTATATTTGAGGCCTGTTCTCGTGCATGTAAAGGAGGCTGTGAAGTGTCAACCCCGGTCGGCTGCATATTGGAAATGACCCATTTGGCCTGGAAACACGAGGGGCCGGCGTGTCTTGGCCGGGTGCTGGTCCAGGGCAGCAAAAGAGGCAAGTGAGGCCCGGGCAGCTCTTGGATGCCTTTGCTGCAGCTCGAGCCCGCTGGGATTGATCCTGCTCCGAGGTAGCCAAGAGCAGAGAAGGGATGTGGAGGGGTGGGGCTGGTGCGGGCACAGGGCAGCAGTCTGCACAGCGACGCGGAGCATCCTGTCCCCCTGGGCCAGGTACTCTCCAGACCGGGAGGGCCGGGTGGGGCAGACGACTGGACTTCCGCAGCCCAGCCCCACTCCCCGCTGAGCCCACGGACTCCTCGTTAGGGCCCAGGCGTGTTTCATCTTCAAAGATGATCGGGCTACTCACTGGCCGAAAAGAGCGGGGGCGTCATCTGCCCTGCTTTACAGGGAGTGGTGGTCTGGGCTGGCCGAGGCTTTTATCCCTAGAGCTCGAAGTCTTTGCCTTCTTTCTGCTTGGGGTGCAGCGGGGAAATTAAGGCCGGAGTGAGGTTGGCCTGAGGTGACCCAGCCTGGAGGAAATGGGGACAGGCCCTTCCCAGCGTTTGGGGCAGCCCTGCTGGGCCCCGCCCCCAGGCCCCTCACTCCTGTCTGGGAGATTTCCTGCCAAGACTGCTGGGTCGCAGCCCTCCTCCAGCTCTGCAGATAAACACTTCTGCCAGCCTCCGCTCCCCGCCCCCCCTCCTGTCTCTGCCTGGGGCCTTGGCCCAGGCTCCTCCCTCCCCCAGGAAGCTCCCAGCCTTCTTCTCCTGGTCCTGCCTTCCCCGGAGGCTGGGTGCTCCCTGCCCGGGGTGTGACTCTTCTCTCCTCACTGATGCCGTGGCTTTGCAGTTGTCCCTTGACTTGTCTGTCTCCCCAGCTAGACTGTGGGCACAGCTGGTGTCTCAGCATCGCGTGCTGTGTTGGGCGCTAGATGGTTGAATGAGGGCACAAATGAATGAATGCAGTTGTAATTCTCCCGCTCTGAACTCTCTCCTTCCACCCCATTCTGGCCCTCCCACCCCTCTGCTGGAAAGCACCCTCCCTCTGCACGCCCTCCACCCTCAGACCAGCCTCTGTGTATAGGCCCCCTTGTCTCTTGATGTCCTTGTTTCATTAAGGCTACAAGAGTTGATGGCCTGGGCTTCTCCTGTTGGAGGCCCTTGACTTAGGAAGTGTTACCTGCTTATGAGAGAACCAATCACAGCCATTGTTAGTAATTATAAGCTAGTGAGATTCCTGCCTGAGAAAGCTAACCACCAAGTTCAACAAAAGAAGCAACTTGCTCCTTCTGCAACACTGCAGGGGGTGGGGGTGGGATGGGAGGCGGGAGGGGGCTGGGGGGGGGGGGGGGTTCTGTCCTAGCTCAAGAGTCACAAAGTGTCCTAGCAAATCAGGGCAGAGCTTGTGTGGAAAATAGGAACCCTGCTTCTGAACGGGGTGATGAGAGTACTTTGAGCATTTTAAAGTGCTTTTGGCTAAAGAAGTTGCTTAGCCCCTGGGTGATTTTCGGCAGCCCTGTGCTTGCCTGGTTTGAGAGGGGTTCTCCCAGAGGAGAAGGAGTGTCGAGGTGAGAGTGACGCCGGGGGGTCTGGGGCTGCCCTGCAAGGAGCTTCCGCCCCACGTGTTTGAGAGAGGTGGGCGAGGATGTCTTAATGCAGGCTTGTACTCTGAGAGTTGGCCTCCAGATGCTTCCCTCTGGCCCATGGGTACCAATTCTGCAAGAGGCCAGCTCCTTCCCAGGCCTCCGTGTGTGTGTGAGGCTGTCCTTTCCGCCTCTGTGCAAACATCTTGTAACTGGACTCTGGATTTCGCTGTCTCCTCAAAGCGACGAGCTCAGCCGTACAGCCCAGAACCAGGGGTTTCCTGGGGACTTTCTGTTTTCTTTTAGCCGACTTGCCTAAACCATATTTGCCCAGACTTAACTCATTTTTATCGAGATGACTGTCTTGTTAAACCTCCGTCGCATGTGATGTTCCTGTAGACCACACTTCCCTACCCTTCCTGACTTCTCCCTGGCCTTCTGCCACATGGATGCTACAGGGAAGGAATTTGGGGCTCTGTATTTGCCCTAGAGATTTGGAAAGTCTGTAGAACCAGGATCTTTATGGTAGGGTGGAACTTTTCCCCCAGTTTGGTTAAATTTGGGAAGTTTGAGGAAGTTAACCATCTCTCTTTCCATTGTGTGGAAAGAAAACTAAGGCCACGGAGGGGGATGTCCCAGCATTGGGGCTGCACTGAGGCACCAGCCGGTTCTGTCTCCTCCTCTGGCCCTTGGGCACGCCCTCCTCAGAGCCCAACCGTGCCCTCACAGGACAGACAGCCGGGGACCCACGGAGGGTTCTGCCTCTGTGATGGGCCCTGACCCCCCAGGGCCCAGCCGCAAGAGGCCACCCCACCCAGACTGAGCCTGGCAGCTGCAAGGGGCTCCCATCGGCTTCCTCACCCTGCGCACGCCTCCCCACGCACGTGGCCTGTGCTCCCGTCTCCGTGCTCGTGAGGCTTGTTTATAGGAGAAGTGCGTGTGTGAACAGGGAAGGGGCGGGCTGTGCTCTGGGCTTGGCTGAAGCTCGGGTGAACCCCGCCCTGCCTCACAGATTCCTCTGAACTCACGCCTGGCGTCTCTGCACATCTGCAGAGGGCACGGGACTGCCGCGCATGTGTGTGTGTGCACGTGTCCTGTGCGTGCGTGTTGTATGTTGTGTATCTTTACGGTGTGCCCGTGTGTTAACAGAGTTGACAAACAAGTTTTACTGCTTTTGCTCCTGCGCTGGCCTGTCCCTGTGTCGGGTGACCCTGCCGAGAGCTGCCTTATGTGACTGGGTGTGGTTGGGGAGTTGGGGGCTGCCCTCCGGCTCTCTGTGCCCTGCACTCTCCCGCTGCCACTCGACACCAGCAGGGGGACGTGGACTCCCTCAGGCTTGTCTGGGGCACAGGCTCCTGGCCCTCGTGGCACCCAGCAGGACAGGTGGAGCAGGAAGCCCTCCCTCTCCCTCCACTCTCTGCCTTCTCCCCTGAGCTGCCTGCCCCTTGCCCCACACCTTAGGGAGAGCCACGCCCACAGGGCTGGGGGCCTTGGTCAGGCCAGGATTAGGAGGACTGGTTTTGAAGAATGGACAGTGGCTATTGAGGACCCCCGAGTTCCTCCTCTGGCTAGGCTGCGTCGGGTTCCTCCTCACTTCCTCCAAAATGAGGAACAGCTGACACCTTTGGAAATAAACTTCGAAGAGGTGACCCCTGGGGAGGTGACCTCTGGGTAGCTGACCCTAAAGGGAGATCCGTGCCCCAGATACACATCCCAGCCACCTGAGTGGCCGCTGAGCCCCTTCACAGTGGGTACCTCTGAGCGTCTGCAGGCGCGTGGGGCCGGGGGCCCAGGCCAGCTTTGATTGACTCCCAGGAATTCTGGCTTCTTTGCGGGTGTACGAGCAGGGCTTACAGCGATGTTGTTGAGCTGGGGAGGGGAGGCTTAGATTCTGCAGGCGGCTGTTGTTGAAGCCCAGCCAGCCCGAGTCCTCGGCAGCTCTGGCCTGCCCTCTGGCCTGCCCCCCCCCCCAGGCTCAGTCCTCCTAAGGACCCTTCAAGCGTCCCTCCCGTAG